CCCCAAAACCCCAAAACCCCAAAACCCCAAAACCCCAAAACCCCAAAACCCCATGTCGTGTCACAAAGCTGTTATACTATTAAATAAATAATATGGGTATATTCAGATCTGAGGATATGGATCTCTACGAGATCACTATTCCAAAGGATAATGCTTGGGAAATCATGAACAAGCTTGGGGACATTGGAATCATGCATTTCATCAATCTCAACAAGGAAGAGCAGGTGTTCAACCTCACTTATGCTCCATTTATTAAGAGATGCGAAGAGACAGAGAAGAGAATTTCATTTATCGAGCAAGAATGCAAGAGGCACCACGTCGAAATGGAAAAGCCTAAAAGTGTAGAGGAGTTCCTTAAGAATATTAACAATATTCAGAACAAAATGAAGAAAGCTGGGGACCTCTTTTTCGAATCTATTGAAGAAGACATTAAGGAAAAAGAGAAGTTTGTGCAAGATCAAACTAGCAAGAGCAAAGAGATCCATGATAGCTTCACTCTTCTATTTGAGTATAAGACTGTACTGATGAAGGCAGAACGCATTCTCCAGTTCAATGCTAGGGGACTTATAAATGAAGAGGGATCTGCTCTGGGTTCATTAAATGGAGAGGGAAGACCAGATGCTCCACTGATGCGAGATTCAGCTGGGATCTCAGTTGGACACATTGCAGGAACTATTAACAAAGATGAGGAGTATAGATTCAAGAAGCTCATCTTCAGGGCTACAAGAGGAAACGCACTCACTTACTTTGACGACTTTGATCAACCCATAAAAGATTATTACGGGAACGGACAGCAAAAGTCTGTTTACGTTGTAATATTCCAGGATGGATCGTCGGTAAGAGAAAAGATTATCAAGATCTGTGACTCCTTCCTTGGAGAGAGGTTTGATATCCCAACTGGAGGTATTCAGGACAAGATCAGCGAGATCAATCACAAGATTAATGATACTCAAAATGTGATTGGTGCTACCCACGAAGAGATCCGGAATTACTTGATGAAAATCAATAAAATGGAGAACACTAGTACATCAGTTATCCAACTTTACAAATGGTTCATAGTAAAAGAGAAAGCCTTATATGAAAACTTAAATAAACTGAAGATGGGATCAAGACTCTTAGTTGGTCTTTTCTGGTGCCCTACCTCTCAGACCAAATACGTCTCTGATGAGATTCAGAGAATTAAGCAAGATAGGAACATCAGTGGTCCTCAGATGTGGAAGAGGGAAGGTCATGGAATCACTCCACCTACTTATGTAAAGACCAATGAATTCACTGTTGTCTTTCAACAAATCGTAGATACGTACGGAGTGCCAGATTACAAAGAAGTGAACCCAGCAATGTTCACAATTGTATCCTTCCCCTTCCTGTTCGGAGTCATGTATGGAGATATGTTCCATGGTTTTATGCTGTTACTTGTTGGTTCCTTCCTCACTTTATTCAATAGCAAGCTTAAGGATACAGCACTTGGAGGTATATGTATGGCAAGATACATCCTTTTATTGATGGGATTCTTTGCCTTTTTCTGAGGAATTTGCTATAATGATTTCGCTTCTATCCCGGTATGGGGATCTACTTGCTTCACCCCAAGAGATCCTGTTCCAGATATAGAGGGAGAAACAACAAAAGTAGAAGGACAAGTATGGGATGATAAACCTGATTGAGTGTATGCTATTGGTATCGATCCAGTCTGGTACAAATCAGAAAACGAACTCCAGTTTATCAACAATATGAAGATGAAGATGGCTGTAATTTTCGGAGTTGCTCATATGTCCCTTGGTATTTTCATGAAGGCTTTCAATGCCTTCCACTTTAAGAGACCTCTTGATTTCTTCTTTGAGTTCCTACCTCAGATCACTCTTCTCTGGGTACTATTTGGATGGATGAATCTTCTAATTATCATAAAATGGCTCACACCATGGTACATTATTAGAACAGAAGATGAAGTCCCTCCACTTCAAAATGTTGACAGGGCTCCAGGAATTATCACAGTTATGATCAACATGTTCCTCGGCTTTGGAGAAACAGATACAAAAGAGTTTGAATCAATCGCTGGATCTCCAGACACTCAAAAATATATAAGCATTATATTATTAGTCATTGCTTTGATCTGCATTCCTTTGATGCTTCTTGGTAAGATAATTTTAATTCTAACTTTTAGTAAAACCGTTGGTTCTTAGATCACAATTGAAGAAGCATCATGGAGGTCAAGCTAGCTTCCAAGGTCGTGGAGATTCTCGCTTCCAGAGACTTGATTCTGATGAAGAAGATAATGAATTCTCTGATACCAACAACATTCAAGATGAGTCTAAATTCACTGCTGCACCTGTTAAAAGTGATGAGATTAATTTAGAAGAGATTGTAAAGAATGAAGCTGGAGATGAAGACCATCATGATTTTAGCGAGATCTTCATTCATCAACTGATTGAAACTATCGAGTTTGTATTGGGTACAATTTCAAACACTGCTTCTTATCTCAGATTGTGGGCTCTCTCCCTAGCTCACAGTCAGTTAGCTGCAGTCTTCTTTGAGAAATTGCTAGATGACATGGGATTACAGTCTGATAGCATTATATTTGGAGCTATTGTCCTCTTCTTCTTATTCCCAGCCTGGGCCTCCTTCACCCTATTTGTGCTGATGCTTATGGACGCAATGGAGTGTTTCCTCCATACCCTCAGACTCCACTGGGTGGAGTTCCAGAACAAGTTCTACAAAGGAAACGGATACCCATTCCTTCCTTTTAACTTCCGTCCAATATTAGAGCAAGAGAAAACCAGGAAGGATTAGGATTTAAGTGATAAACTTTTATCTCTCAATAAATTTATCCCAACCGGGGTTTTGGGGTTTTGGGGTTTTGGGGTTTTGGGGTTTTGGGGTTTTGGGGTTTTGGGG